GCCTATCGTTGTCCCTTAATTCGTGGTTGCCTTTTATGATTCATGAACGGTTTACAAGTTCCTTAAAAACTTGTTGGCGGCTCCCTACTTTCCTTGTCCCTAATGGTGTCCCTACTCGTATGTCAATTCTCACTTCCTATGAGTGACAAGCATATTCACATCATGCTTTAACGTAGGCGCACTTCGAACGACGCCTACAGACAAGTAATCTAATTAGTAGCACATTTAACATAAAAGTTCAACATTTATGGTAGAATCGTGTTAGATTCATGAGTAAGTATTTTTTATTTGAATGTTTGTACAACCATAAGGAGAGATATAAAGATAAAGTGGGAGAGGGAGAAGCGGAGAAAGGAAACAGAAAAGATAAGGGTTGGAAGAGAAAGATATAGGGGCCGAGAAAAAGATAGAGCAGTCGAAAGACAAAGAGGTCAATTCAAAAGAGAGGGAGAGTAAGTCAGGAGAAGAAAGAGAGGCTGGGATGAAAAGAGAGAAAAATTATGGGAGAGGAGTAGGGAGAAAAGAGAGAGATAGAAAGAGGGGTTAGGAATTAAGGAGGATGAGATAGACATAAGAAGAAAGAGAAATAGGACTAGGAGAAATATAGGGGTTTGGAAAAGAAATAAATGGGCGAAAATTAATATTCGATTTAACGCTACAAAATTCACATTTAATTTCCATTTTTTTAAAAAAAAAAAGAAATATAAGTACGCTCAATAATATCCACACCCGGTATTTTACATATTGGACTATAATGATCAGATTCAAGTATGTTTTAGTTGTTGTTGGTTTTTATTATTTTCCAATGAAATGTCCTTCTTACCAATTAATTTTGTATAATATAAACTAATTATAATAAAACAATTTAACACATAAAAAAAACATGTACCAATACCAAATTCTTCAACTCAAGCAATCGATTCTTTAAAAAAACAAAAATCAAGCAATCGATAACCTTATTTTATAGCATACATATTATTCCTATAAAAAAATTTCACTATAACAAAGTAATTCATTCCAAAAAAAATTTCAAGAAAATTTCTAAAATCCTTTTTTTCCAAAATACAATACCGAATTAACGATAAAACCAACAAGTACAATCAACAATATCGACACCCCGTATTTTCCATATTATTAGACTATCGCGCGCAAGGACGACTAGTCTTTAATTAAATATGATTAGTAATTCAAACCATTTAAAACATGCATGATATTAAAATCAATCCTTCAAAAAATACATCTATTAAAACAAATATTAAAATCAATACATCCAAATATACTTTATTTCATAAATCATAATTCAAATAAATTTAATTGAATCACTAATAAAATCATATAAAACATGTTATTCAAACCAATCACTTTCAAAGGTATCTAACCAATCAAACGTACCTATCACAAAACTTTTTTAAAAGCTAGCCACACTGCACTTGAGGTTATTTCTTATTTATATAGTTTTTCTTTGGAAAATTTGACAATTACCACCTTCTATTATTTCCATTTTAGCAATTACCACCTTGTTTTATTTTTTTTTTTTAAAAATTACGACATTCTCTTTTCTAAAACATCAAAAGTTACCACCTTCTTACCTCCCAACTGTCATATGACGTCATGTGGGGCCCACTTTTACCTTCCCTCTTCTTTTTCCCTCCCATTTCCTCTATGCTCACTCAATTTCAACTCCCGTGTCTCTCTTCTCTCTCCTTCGCCATTAATATCAATTAATCCAACCTCACCTACCTCATTTGTTTAGAAAATTTACTCCCTTGCGTCACATCATCTTTCTCTGGCATAATTCATGGTAAAAAAAGTTGCAGCATTGTCCCAAATTTGTACCTTATTCCAGGCGTAGCGCTGAAGGGGGGACCAAGCTAGGAGGAATTTGGTTGTTAGAATCAGCAAAAGGGAGTAAAAAAAGCAAGGTAATTTGACTCTAAACAATGAATTTGTCAAACCCTAGAAATTGTTACACTTTAATTGCATACAAATTTGTGTAATGTGGTATTATATTCATTAATTAGTTGTAAAGTAGGGTTTTTTATTGTTTAATTAGTGGATTCCCTACCTTATAAAAAGTAGAAGATAACTCTTAAGAATAGTGTGCTACCAAATATACCCTCAAAAATATGTACAAAAATGTATATTTACTTTTTTACCCTCATTAGTATGTTTGCTCTCATTAATATATTTTTTTTATCATTAAACATATCATCAATTAATTCGATTTTTTTAAAACAAAAAACTTGTAATTCCTTGTTTTTAATATAAAAATTATACTTCATATGTTATGATTATTATTTTAAAAAATAAAATTATATTTACAAATAGACTGTTTATTACCAAGAGATTGTTTGTTTTTTACTCCTTCGTGGTTGCTCTTCTTATTTACAATCTTGTCATCCTTTAATTGCAATACTATTGTTAAGGTTTATTAGCTTTTGAATTGTACGTTGTTTGATGGCACATAAATAACGTTATGGAATTTGAATGAGATTCATATTAAATAGTGATATTTAAGCATATGTTATCAAGAGGTGTAAAGAACTTAAAAATTCTAAAGTCAAGGGAAAAAAAACGGGTATGGAGTATTAATATTGGAGAGAATTTACGAGGAAAAATATAACTAAATAGTTATTGATTTAGTATTAGATATAGATATAGATATATTAGATGCTCGTAGAACAATATAGAACTTAGATTATTAAGTTTTTAGCTAAAATGAACATTTCACCTATTATTACTCCGTATGACCAGAGCTCAAAAAAAATTCATTTGAAGAAAAACACACTAGATATATTAATCATGCGAATCAATTAAGAATTCTAAACTAACAATAGTTTGAGATATGAAGGGATACAAATCAATTAAATATTATTTAATAATAATTTTGAAATAACAGTGTCAAACTATTGAGGTTTCGAACAATAATTGTCATAAAAAGATTTTGATGGTTTTTTTTTTATACTTTTACAAAGTCACTACATTTGCACATAAACCAAATAACACGTATTAAAACTAGCAGGTCTACCACCCAAATCAAAGGTGTAAATACACACCAATACAATTTCTCTACAAGAGTTAACTTCTTCGTGCGCGTTGCATGCGTGGCCACCTTAGTATAATTAAAAATTCAAAGCTGCATGTTGTTAGTTAGTTCACCAATTGAATACACTGACCCCTAATTTGAATTGCAAAACCCTAATTTCAACTACACTGACTTAATCCCCAAATTGAAAATAAAAAACCCTAAAATCAATTGAAACCCCCTAAATTAAGATGAACAACATACCTTTCTTCGTGGAATCGTTGTCATGTTGCAGCAACACCAAATATTGTTCGTGAATTTTGGTTTGGTGGAGTGAATTGAAGTGTTTCTGATTTCTTTGAGGGAAAAAAAGTGAAAGGGGAGATGAAAATCGAGTTATGAATGAGAAATGGGAGGCAAGAAAGTGGTAACTTTTGATGTTTTAGAAAAGAGAAGGTGGTAATTTTCAAAAAAAATAATACAAGGTGGTAATTGCTAAAATGGATATAATAGAAAGTAGGGCCGAGCAAAACTACCCGAAAAACCGAAAACTAGAAAACCCGTTTTGTTACCGTTCCGAAAATTAGGGTACCCGATCTGATAACCATAATGGTTCGGGTACTCGTTCCGATAATTTGTTATCGGGTATGGTTATTGGGTATCATTTTAAAATTAACGGTTACCCGTTCCGAATCGATAAGCAATTTTTTGTTTTTTTATCCTACTTAAATCTATTTTTTCCAAAATCTAAACTCTTATTTTGCTTCATTATCACTATATAATATCAATGATTAGTAATATAATTAATAATTTGGTCAAGATCATGTGGTATTGTTGTTAATTAGTGTTAAAATATATCATAATAACTAATGCATTAAGTTTAATGATCACTATTGGATAGTTTATTGGGTACCCGATAACCGTTCTGAAAATCCGGGTATCCGAACTTATCGGTTCGGTTTATGGATATCACTTTTAGTGATATTGGTTATCGGGTACTCGAACCGTTATTACTAACGGTACGGGTACCCGTCCCATGCTCACCCCTAGAAAGTGGTAATTGTAAAAATTTCCTTTTTCTTTTTTGAAATACTCTTGCTGGTTTGTAGAGTAAAGGTAAAATACAATCCTCAATCTTTTGTATTTGTGCACTTTTAGTCCCTCTGAACTATTTTGTGCACTTTTAGTTCCTCTGCCACCAATGTTGGTGTTTTCCAATTAAAAGTTGAGGGATTTAGCCTAATCAGCATTAGTTTAGGGACCATGACTCATTTTTATTTTTTTTATTTTTTTTGTCAAAATTTATTAAAAAACTTTTTATTAGTTTAGGGACCAAGCTACTCCAACATCTATCTCTCTTCTCAGTGTTCAGATCTGGTTTTTTCCCTCTTCCCTCTTTGCTTTCCCTCTTTGAACCTTAATTTCTACTCCTTTTCATTTCAAATCTTTAGCCAAAATTAATTTTTTTACCAATAAAAAATCAGATTAAATATCAAGAAACATTGATTAATTAAAACCCTAAAAAATTCACTTTTTCTGAAAATTCGTTGCTCTACAGTAGCAACACCAAAGACGATTTTTTTTTTGAAAGCAACCAACGTTGAATTTTTGGGAGTGATGTAGTCGGATTTCAGGGGATGAAAATGTTGGGGAAAATGGTCGATTTTTTTTGGACAAATTAATTTGAATTTTGGAGAAGTAGTCTAAATTTATAAAATTTGGGGAAAACAGTCAATTTTGGGGAAATTTATCAGAACTGTGTAAAAATTGTACTCATTCTACTCGTATTAGTGTGGAGAAGGCTGTTCTTCACTTTTTTTTTTAACAAAAAACTGATTATTTGTTGAAGAAATTGAAGATAGAGAATGAGGTTTTTCTTTGGAAAACAAGAGAAAGAAAGAGCTGAGCAAACGGATGACAGAGAATATTTAGCAAAAAAAAAAATAAGGGAAAATAATAAAGGGGGACATGAATTATTTGGCAACATATGAGGGTAAAATAGGAAATTAGGATGACTTAAGTGTAAAACATGGGGGTGTTCTGGGAATTTTAAATAAAATTCTGACAAAAAAAAAAAAAACAAAAAAATAATGAGTCATAGTCCCTCAACTTTTGTTGATTAGGCTTAGTCCCTCAACTTTTGGAGGTAAAACACCAAGTGTGATGGGTAAGGGACTAAAAGTGCACAAAAAAAATTGACAGGACTAAAAGTGCACAAATACGAAAGTTTAGGGAGTGTATTTTACCTTTACTCCTAGTTTGTAAAAACAAAAAACAAGAATATACTCTTGCTGTTCGTTCTTTCTCCCCCTTCACCTTCATTTTACTTCCCAATTGAAGCTGCTTCAAGAACTGAAGAACAATCAAATTGAAATGGAGCAAAATCAAAGACCATCTTCTTCAAGATCTTATCAATTACACCCAGCTAAATCAGTTATCACTGATCTCTTCAACCTTTTTTTAGGGGTATTTCACCAATTCCTGCAATTTTTGTAGTTTTCTCTAATCTGGTTTTTTTATACTTCAATTTCCAATTTAGCTTGTTTCTTTTCATCATTGCAGAGAATTTCGCGCCAAAAATCTGATGAACAAACACCGTAAGTTTCGTTCTCAGTTGTTCAGTTCTCGCCCAATTTAATTTATGCCCATTGATTTATTTTTATTTTTTTTACTTATTTTGGAATGAATTTATTTGTTTATAATTGTGTTGTATGTTATGGAATTTGTTTAATCATTGTTTAGTATTCGTAAATATTCTGCTGTGTTTGTTGGTTGATTTGGTATATTATGGTGAACTTAAAAATGGGTACAGTTTGTTTCTTTTAAGTTATTCAATCTGTATTTTTTAAGTGTATTGGAATATCTTTTTGAAACGACTAAATTGACGACCGCCATTGTCGATAAAGTGGAAAAAAGTACGAACACTTTGAAAGCTCATGTTGGTATCTATTGAATAACAATATACCGCTTTTGGTGATTGATGGTGGAAGTGGTCAGTGAAATGGTGAATTGAACAATCATATGATTAGGTCAAAACGTAGATGATTTATTCCTAGCTGGAAGCTCATTGTTTCAAAATTTTTAATTCTTAATCTTTAAGATCACAAAAGCTAACGATTCAATTTTTCGGAGATAGTATGGATATGGTAATGAGTTTGAACAAGACTAAAAATGTACGAATTCAGGTTGCTGTCTTTAATAAACTATCTAGCTATTGGCAAATATGGTGATTGACGGGGGGAATTGGTGTCGTGGGCTTAAACAACCTTTATTTAGAAGCGTAGATGATTAAACCCTAGCTGATTTCCATTTGGGGGGGGGGGGTGGCGGCTCAGAGGGCAATGTTATTGGGTTTGTGTGGTATTGCTATGGTTGTTGATTTCGGATGTCTCATAGTTTATGAAGTTATAAACAAACTCATTGTTGTTATCCACTTACACATATTAGTAGTAACACTCTTGGGTCATTAACGATCAACACCCATGTTCCTTGGTGAATAACTTATTAACTCATCAGTTAAAAGTTTGAAAAATCAGTTACTGCATTATATAAATCTTGTATCCCCATCACTTGTGGTGATTTATCTAAATCTTCGATCAATTTTCTTGCTATGCTCTATTTCCTTTACGAACAGTTCCTTATGACGATTCTTGTTAGCGGACCCCTAATCATTTTGGGACTAAGGCTTTGTTGTTGTCGTTATTGTTGAATGACTGAAAAGAAGAGGAAAGGTATACTAAAATGTATCTGATTCGAAATAAATTGAATGTCATATATGTATACTGTGGTATTATAAATTGATAAGATAATTGGTTTATTGTCTCTAGGAATAAAGCACAAAAGCGTGTAACAGCGCTAAACAGAGATCTTCCTCCTCCAAATGAGCAATTTGTTTCTGACTTTGAACAAGCTCTGAGGCAATTTCCTGTGAGTTTCAGCTTTGGATGTCTGATCTAAGATATGTTCACATTTGATATGTTTTATTCATTTTTTATTTCTTACTTTCAACTTTGACCTTATGTATCTGTGACAATTGTTTCAGGATCAAGAGCAACTGCGTTTGGTAACAGAAGCTGTTCTGATTTCTCTAGTTCTTCAGTGTTGTAGCCATTCTCCACGGGCAGAATTTCTTCTGTTTGCTTTGAGAAGCTTGTGCAGTATTGAGCATATAAAATGGGATACTTTTTTACCATCACTTCTCAGTGCAGTGTCCTCTGCGGAGATGTCATTTGGTCAAGGTAGTCGAGCTACACCTGCAGCCACCTCAACAGTATCTCAAAGTGGGATGTTGCCAACCACAAACACCATATCAGTATCCTCTACTTTTCAGTCAAACCCTGCATCACCATTAATCTCTGCTCAAAATATAGGATCCCCTGCTCAATCTGTTAATGAACCATCATCTGCTGTAACGTCATCTCCAGTAAAGCTGAATGAGATATCTAGCAACCACCAACAGTCATCCCTGATGGTCAGTTCAGCAATAAGGGATAGTGCCATAAGTAGTCTGCGTCAGCTCTGCTGTAAAATTATTCTATTAAGCCTAGAGTCTACTTTGAAACCTGCCACACATGCTGAGATACTATCTCATATGCAAACTTGGCTGGTCAATTGGGATCAAAGACATCAATTCAATGATGAATCTGATGCAAAATCCTGGAGACTTGACAAGGCTCTCATTGACTGGCTTCACAGTTGTCTGGATGTTATTTGGCTGTTAGTCAAGGAGGACAAATGTCGTGTACCATTTTATGAGTTACTACGCAGTGGATTACAATTTATTGAAAACATACCAGATGATGAATCCTTGTTTACACTTATAATGGAGATTCACCGACGACGGGACATGATGGCTATGCATATGCAAATGTTAGACCAACACTTACACTGTCCAACTTTTGGTACCCAACGATTTTTACCTCTAGCCACTCCTCATTTTGGAGGTGAAGCAATAACAAATTTGCGGTATTCACCTATCACATATCCAAGTGTTTTGGGGGAACCATTGCATGGAGAGGTGATAATGTCAACGCTATTATAAGTTTAATTTCTCTTACAGCACATTTTTATGCTTAATTATGAAAGTTTGGCTTAAAATCATGTTTCAACTTACAGCGGCTATTAATTAGTTTATGTCATCAAGAAAAATTCTGTGGTTTAGGATTATATAGTGAGAAAAATTATAGATTTGTCTGTGGTAAATCAATCTGCCTGAAGGATAGTTCTTGACATGTTTCAGCTGCATTGTCTTTATTTTATTTACTTCTGAGATTCCTGTCAGGTGTGACCTTATTGTCAGTTGAATTTATAGTTCCTGCATGTGTACTGGAATCAAGACTGCTTGTCTTAATATCTAACTTACCTAAGCTGTTCACTTATGTACGTTGCATGTTTTTGGCTTTAGCAATACCTGCATTCATTTTTCATTGTGTGTTGCTATCCTTGCTGCTGTTTTCGCTGGATTTCCTTTCACACTCTAGGTATTCTTCATTTTTAAAATGTCATGAATTAGATTTCAATTCCTTTAGGATTGCCAACTCTTCTTAATGTTGCTATGAATTTCAATTATATTTGACTGCCAACCCAATCCATCCCATATTATTTTTTAAGGCTTTTTGCACTCTTAGTCACTTACTTTTACAAGAAACATTCCTCTACATTTATTCACACCTTTTCTTTGACCCTTTCTCTTACTTTTTCTTTTTTCCAACCCTACACTTCATTTTGGTTTCTTTTCAAATTCTAGCTTGAAAAAAAAGAGAGAATACTATCTCTTGTTTACATTTTCCTTACTAAAATATGGGAAATGGAAAATAAATTAAAATAAATAAAACTCTCGAGGATAAGATAGTCTAAATTCAACAAAAAAGGAAAAAACTAGGACTGAGTATAAACATAGATAACCGTAGATACCTATTAGCTGCTTATGTTTACTGTGAGTGTCTTCTAGGGTTGATATAGGATACAAAAATCCTACCTAAGCCAGCTTAGCTGTGTTGGTTGTTTAGAACTCACTCTTCAACATTTAGTACACTAAGGCTATGTTCTCTTCACCTGATATTTGTTTTGGGTTGAAATTTTTAGTCTGATATTTTTTTGTCTGAAATTTCTGGCATGGTTGGGTCAGATCTTATCTCCAAGAGGGGTCTTGTTAGATTTTTCTTAATGTATTTTCCAAATGTCTATTTTCATAATCTTAATAAATACAAAATTCCAGATATTTACGATTAGAAAATGCAAATAGTAAGGTCTTGTCATTTGACTCCAGATATACAATTGCCTCAAAGAACAGAACCGAACCTGTACTCTTCATGCGATCTAACTCTACCCTTGAAATTGTTGTTTTGCTACTTATTCAAGCCTAATAGGAAGTGCTAAAGAGAAAAAAAAAACCAACGAAAGGAGGCCAGAAGATGCTTAACAAGTTTTTTTTTTCTTCTATGATGCTCAAAACAATTTGGGTTTTGTGTTGCTTTACTCATCATTTCATTGGCTGTCCTTTTCATCTAACATTTTGCAACCTCCTAAAATACTCCAAAGTCTGCACAGATCAACAAAACTTCAAATTTTCTTCATCTTCTTTCTGAATTTTCCTGTAAACAATCTGTTTCTGGGTCTTGAGGTTGACACACCATGCATTAATGATGAGAAGATAATTGTGAGGTTGATTAAGGGTGCTGAAATCATGTATATAAAGTGGCTGGTAAATCGAAGGCTTTTTAAATTCTTGAGATGGAGTGGTTTGAAAGATATGAAGGAGAATAGGGAATTCCAGCAAGTTTACTCATTTGCCTTTTGCTTCATAATTCCTTACAATGGACTTTAGATAATCAGATTCTGTTGTTTATATGAATAAAGTAGTTTCTATTGAACACATGTACATGTAATTTTCTGTTAATGGATGCTTCTTGTTTGTCTTTGATACATTCACAAGTCTCTGTGATGTCTATTCTTGAGTTAATATTTGTGGATTCTCTTATACTTTGTTGCAGGATTTGGCAGTTTGTATCCAGAAGGGTACTTTGGACTGGGATAGAGCTTTGCGGTGTATTAGACATGCTCTGCGTACAACTCCCTCTCCAGATTGGTGGAAACGTGTGTTGCTTGTTGCCCCCTGTTACCGGCCACAACCTAATGTATCCTCTCCTGGAGCTGTTTTCACATGGGACATGATTTGTGAGGCAACTGTTGACAGAATTGTTGAACTATTGAAGCTGACAAATTCAGGCAAGAAGCTTCTAGCCATTTCTCATTTTTTATCTAGTCAAACATCTATACATGGGAACATATGGCAATAAAGTTTAGGGTGAATAATAAGATGAGCTATTCTGGGTTATTTGGTAAACTTAAAAGCTTTGAATTTGGCTTAGAAATTAGTTCACATTGCTGTCTCCTTTTTCATTTGAAGCAACATCAATTCAATAAGTGCACTTTCCCTCAAACTTTTTCTTTAATTTTCCTTCCTTTAACCCCCCCCCCCCAAAAAAAAAAAATAGAATAAAAAATATTTCACCACCACCTCTTAGCATAGGTGCTTGGATTTCTATTATGAAATATCTATAACCTATATAAAACAAAAAAGCTGCCAACTTTTTACCCCTAACTGAAAATTCTACATTTCTACAGCAGCTATGTATCTGCTGTAAATGCTGTGAGCTGCAGTCATCAGCCAGGGTCAGTTGAATACTTCTGGTGTTGATGCAAGGGATTTTTTTTTTTTTTTTTTGACATGCAACTTAATTACTTATGATGAAATGACAAGTTATTCTTTGCTTAATAGCCTTGAATAATAAAATCACTCTTTAAAATTGCGTTAACTCTACAATCACTCCCTAAACTTAGACTAAAGTTGCAATTTACTCACTCAACTTATAAAAGTTGCAATTCATTCACTCAAATCAAATATGACCTACAATAGCAGGTTAATTCTATGAAGTCCCTAAGCTTTATGACATAAAAGTTGGGGTTAATAATAGTTTGGGTTTTTTTTTAATGATCAAACTATTTTGGAAATTTTTTTATAAAACAACCAACACCCTCACCACCCACCCAGCCAAGCTCCAGCCCCCTACACCTGACGACGGCCAGCTCCCCCATCCCTCCTCCCTTTCCCCTGAAACAATCTCCTTCTTGAAACAAACACCCTCCACGCAAATTACCCCCAAACCCTTAATAAGTTTTGATTATAACATCTAAATAAAAATCTTTTATTATAACACTACAAAAAAACTCACAAATTTGATTTCACCACCACTTAACGGTTTTTTTGGATAAATTCTGTTAATGGGGCCCATAATTCGACACATGTCAATAGCTTATAGGTTTAAAAAATTGAATTAATAAAAAGAAAAATAAATTAAAAAAAATTCCTTAACCCAGCCACGTCGCCGAATTTTGCTTTCCCCCTCCTCGAAAACCACCCACGCCGCCAAACTCCTACCACCAAACCCGAAAACCACCCTACGTTGCCGAACTCCTACTAGCAACATCATGCCACCACCACCTACCTCAGCTACATCAACACCATCGTCGTCGAAATCCTCTCCCCTACCCACACCAACCCAAAAATCGCCTTCACCTAAACCCTAACCCGTTTCTAGAAACCGAATTGAATCGGGGCTGAGGTTGAGTTGGTACGACGTTTTAGGGTTAGGGTGGTGTGTCTTCCAGTGTGGTTGGCTGGAAACTAGCAGCGGCGGTGGGGGCAGGGGGAACCGGCGCCGGTGGTGAGTGCGGTGGTTGGTCAGGATTTTAGGGTTTTTCCTTTTTTTCTTTTTTTTTTTCCAATATATAGTTGACATGTATACTATGTTGGGCCCACTAACGGTTTTTTGGATGGCGTTAGTTTGTGGTGGTGAAATCTAATTTTTCGGTTTTTTTGTGCTGTTATAATCAGGGTATAAAAATGTGGCCGCATTGTAACGTATCGGCCGAGATGATGCGGTTTTGAATTTTACCGAACCGAGATTATCTGATGTGTAGCGCCTTGTTAAAATACAGCGCATTTATGAGCGATTCGGCCGGTACGTTCCTGATGCGGCCGAGTTTTAGCGTTTTTCCCTTTATTTTTCTTTTTTGCGGTGGATGGTATCTTCAAATGTGAGGTGCGAAGTAGAAGATGAGTGTTTCAAATTTCAAAGTTTCTCTCTCCTCTAGCTGACAGCAACTACTTTTCTTTTCCTTTTTATTTTTATATCTCCTCACAGTCACATGCACTTGACTACCTTGAAATTGTTGACAGCTGGTTACAATTGTTGACCAGTTAAATTTAAATTCTCTAGACACGTAGCAACTAGAGCAACTTTTTACTTTATCATATATTTATTTTTTTGGTTTAGAAATCAGTAAGCTGTTTGGAGATTTGGTCTATCTAACAATAACAATAACAATATCAATAATAATAATTCAAAATTTATGAGTAAGATTGTGAAAAAAAATATCAAAACTACAAAATTAAATTTGGTCATAACATCCGCAACCCATTCCGCGACAACCGCATCATTTCTGTTACCGCGACACGTGATCGTTACCAATATCGCGACCGAAACCGCATTTTCGAACCATGGTTATAATAAAAATTTTAAATTTGTAGTGTTATAATCAAATAATCAAATTTTGGGCTTTTTTTGGTGTTATTTTCTATAAAATCCTTGAATTTTTTTAAAAATAAAAATTTAACCATGGTTAAAGATTTTTTTGTTAAAATAGTTAGGAAGTTTAGGGAGTTGCAAACTTTTATGTCATAAAGTTTAGAGAGTTTATAGAATTAACCTGTTATTGTAGGTCATAACTGATTTGAGTGAATAAATTGCAACTTTTATAAGTTTAGTGAGTAGTTTGCAACTTTAGTCTAAGTTGAGAGAGTGGTTTTGTACTTAACTCCTATAAAATTCCATTTTCGGAGCTAGAAGTAATCATGATGATAATATGACGGAGAGACGAAATTATGTTGCTGGTCTCTAGGGGTTGGGGTTACTGGTTCTGTTTCAGGCATTTGGCAATGGTGTAATTTCTCCCAGCTTGACATTTTGGCAGAAATTATCTATAGAGATCACATCTATTTTGGCCCAAAACTTTGAAGTTCCAATGGCTTTAAATTGGTCTTCTTATTCTATAAGAAAACCCTCCTTTCTATCCTTGTGATCAAATTCATGTATCTGTTGGACTTAATTAAAATAATTCATTCTTAACAAAGAACCACGCTGGTATCTAAGAATCAACCACTCAGCCATCTCTCAATCAATTTCTATATCTGGGGTAAGCTATAAAGTGTACCATTTTTCTGTAGATGGTGATATATCAGGGCTGTTTTTTTTTTTAATTTTTTATTTATTTATATTATTCTGCCTCAATCAGAATGTTATTCTACAATTTGAATATTCTGTTATACAAATACTACCTCCGCTTGAAATTACTTGCAACAAAAGGGGTGCGCTCGGACTCTTAGGCAAAAGATTGAAATCATCATTATTGAAAAATAAGGGTACATGCTTAACTATTGATCCAACCCAAAAAAAGAAAAAACAAATCCAACCTTAATTAAATTAAATAACCCACCACCACCGACACCACCAAGCATCATCGAAACCAACCACCACCACCACCACTACCCAGCATCATCGAAACCACCCACCACCATCACCCAGCACCACCACCCCACGAACCCAACACCACCGACGCACCCAGCACCACCCACGAACCCAGCAAAACAAAGCAGCAACAACTCACTGTACCACCCTGCACAATGAACCCCAATCAAACCCACAATCAAAACCAAAACCAAACCCACAATCAAAACCAAAACCGAACGCTCAATCAAACCCAAACCCATGATGCCACTGCACCAACGAACCTAGCAGCCACGAACAAACCAACCACAAACCCTTCTCTATCATCAGTTAAAGCTTTAATTGGTCAAATTTAACCATCAAAACTGTAGAGATCTAGAGTTTTGATGGTTAAATTTGACTATAAAACCTTCGAATTTGGGTTTCATCGGCAATGAGGAAACAAAAAGCAAAGGAAGAGAGAGAAAACAGAGGCAGCGATGTAGGTAGTGGTTGCCATTGAAGATGGTGGCGGTGGTGATCGGTGGTAATGGTGGTGGTGATGGTCGTGGTTGTCATTGAAGGTGGTGGTTGCAATAGAAGGTGGTGGATTATGAAGGAAGAGAGAGAAAACTTATGAAGGAAGATGTTGAATGTAGATGGAGGAGGGGAATGAATTTGGTGGTAAAAAGAAATTAATTAACCTTAGGGATTAATGTAATAAGAACAGATTTATTTTTTAATTAGGATGTTTAAAAAAAAAGTAAGGGTAAAATTGTCATTTCATAGCCAAAAACTTACTAAATAAGGAAAGAAAAATATTTGTTGCGAGTAATGTGAAGCGGCCATTTTTGGCAAATGTTGCGAGTAATATGAAGCGGAGGTAGTATTTTTTGTATAACTACTGTTTCAAGTCTTCCACGACGTATAGAGTTCCTGATCAATAGTTAAAATGTATCGTTCACAACTCTTGCATCGTTATATTCCCAAACTTCTTAAGCATTCTGATGTATGATTTTGGTAGGCATAAGATCGTTCCAATTTTATTTCATCCTATATTTAAAATTTTATTTTATTTATTTATTTTTAATTTTTAATATTTCGCTTAACTCTTGATATGGCTATCAGTGTACCAGATATTGATCCTATGTTTATGTTAATCAATTTTTTTTATCCCAAATATTGTGATCTGCGATTATGCTTCACTGCATTGTATTTGTGTCTGCAGAAGTTACCATTATAGTGAGCTAATTGGTGTTTCTAATGTATGTTCAGAGTCAAATTGTTGGCAGGAGTGGCTTATTTTTTCAGATATATTCTTCTTTCTGATGAAGAGTGGCTGCATTGACTTTGTCGATTTTGTGGACAAGCTTGTTTTGCGGCTGATTGAAGATGACCGCCATATTCTTCGGACAAATCATGTTACATGGTTGCTTGCACAGATTATTCGTGTTGAGCTTGTTATGAACGCTCTAAATAATGATTCCAGAAAGGTATTCCAGCAGATTATGGCTAAAAGTTTCGTTATCTTTAATTTTGTCCCCTCTTATCTCCTCTCTCAAATGTAGTAAAGCAAGTTGGAAAAATAGTTTATAGGGGCTTACAAGTAGTTAGTCAGTTTGACTAGTGCATTTTTTTGTGTGATAATGATTGTCATGTAAAATAATTTTTTTAACATGTACATGAATAATTTCTTTTTTTTTCCTCTCGATACTTTTTCATTGCTTTGATCTCATAATTTGACTGTATAAAGTGCGAGTTTCCCTTTTATGCATACAGGTTGAGACAACAAAAAAGATCTTGTCATTTCATAGAGAGGATAAGAGCTATGATCCCAATAGCCCTCAAAGTATACTGCTTGACTTTATAAGCAGCTGCCAGAACTTGAGAATATGGTCGTTGAACACACTACATAGAGATCACTTGAATAATGAGCAGCTTCAGAAAGGAAAGCAAATAGATGAGTGGTGGAGGCAAGTGAGCAAAGGTATCCATCAATTATATTATAATGATACCTGTTACTTTATCAGGAGTAAATAAATGATGCTTGACTAATCAACTTCACCCAAAATATGAAGCTTATATGATGCATACAATGAAGTACATGTTCATTTCTGTAACTATTATAAAACCTTTCTTTTTATTTGCACAAGCACAACCATGTTCATCCTTTTGTTCTTGATCCTTAAAGTTTTGTATAGTTTGAAAAAGGTGAGTGGGTGTAAGAGAGAGAGAGAGAGAGAGAGAGAGAGAGAGAGAGAGAGAGAGAGAGAGAGAGAGAGAGAGAGAGAGGTGTAGGTACAATAGTTTTACTATTAAGTGACGACACAACACTGTATTAATGTTCCAAGTTAACAAAATCACTATAGACCTTGTACTTGAAAAGAAACCAAGTGAGTTGAAAAGTTTGGTTAACTAATCAATTCTCTAATGACAACTACTAGTCATGGCAGCCATTTTATTCCTACTTATACTTAACAATATTAATTGGTCACTAAGATCAATTAATCATACAAAAAAAGTACAGGCATTGTTGTACAGAGGGAAAAGTCATTATAACTTCTCAAAATATGCCTCTGCACAGCAAAAGTTATGAATACGATAAAGAATATAACATTCAAGGATGAACGGGGGGATAGGAGCAGAGGTGGTGATTGGTGTAGCAGTGCTCCTGCAAAAGAGGTTTGATATGATGTGATGATTTTTTTTTCATTTTTTTCAAAATAAAATTGGTTAGGATTTTAAGAACAGGGTAGATCAAGAGAGACAGTTGAGCAGTTCTAGGTGCAAGGTTGGAGCATAATATAGTTGATATCCGAAAGAAGAAATTTTAGGTAGATTGATGTTTCACTTATCTATTGACCACAAATCTTGTGGTCAAGAACAGGGTAGATCAAGAGAGACAGTTGAGCAGTTCTAGGTGCAAGGTTGGAGCATAATATAGTTGATTTCATTCATCCAAAAGAAGAAATTTTAGATAGATTGATGTTTCACTCATCTATTGACCGCAAATCTTGTGGTTGGGGAAAATATGAAGGGATGGCTGGTGGAAGTAGGGTGAAATACAGAGAAAATTTAAGCGTTGGTTGCCTCCTTAATCTCATGTCAAAGCTTATATAAACAAGGTTTAGGATAATTTTGGGGGTTTAAGATAAGTATGATCTTGTAATTAGATAATAAAATCAAATTTCAAGTTTGAGATGATTAACTTTTTGTGACATAAAATCATTTTTTTTGTATGATATTTATATTTAAAGTACACCCGAAAATTTGGGGCAATATGCACACACTGTCTCTCTCACACATGCACACATTTGGTTTTGCATGCACAACTTCTAGATAAGCTTGTTTAGATACCAATAGTTCATTTAAATTTAAAACTTTGAATGAGACATGTTAAGCACAACAGTAACTAATGTATTTTTAATGTAATATACGATAAAAGAAACGTTGTCTGTTAGCTTCTTTCTTTTTTAACTGTCTTTTTAGGTCATCTTCTTCTATAAAGAGCCTCTACTTCCTAAAAGAATGATAGTGATAATTTGTTTTATTCCCCCTACCCTAGTAAAAAGCTGTTATGGAAATAGGATGAAAAATCTTGAAGAAATAAGTAACTACTGATTTAGCGCTAAGGACTAAGAATTCCAATATATATTATTTTTTTATTTTAAGTTTCATTTGTATCATTATGTATGCATGTGTTTAGTGCTGGTGCAAAGAGGAGAGTTTCCCTTATGAAGGTTGAGAATAGGAAGACCTACTAATGTAATAATGTTGATTGTGTATCAGAGTCAAAAGTTTATGCTTTCCTGATACAGGTGAACGGATGCTGGATTACATGAATATGGATGACAGATCAATTGGAATGTTTTGGGTTGTATCTTACACGATGGCACAGCCTGCTTGTGAGATGGTGATGAATTGGCTTAATGCTGCTGGTACAGAACTATTACCAGTCTCTGGTATGCAGTCAAATGAGAGACTTGTAATGATGCGGGAAACAAGTCCTCTACCAATATCACTAATATCTGGATTCTCAATCAACTTGTGCATGAAACTTGCTTATCAAATGGAGGATTCTTTATTCTCTGGACAGGTATACTGTTATTATGTCATTAGTGTTTTGCTTTTATGAAATCTTAGCAACCAAACTTGTTAATAGCAGACTTGTAGTACTACAAAGGAATCAAAAAACTATTTCTAGGGGTAAATTTGAGAAGCTCCCTTTGGCATTCGTTCCATGAATATTGACTACTGATTAGCTCATATGCTACGTTCTCTGTCTTTTCATATCCTATAGTTGCTCGTGATTACACTTACTGGGATTTTTTCTACAATTTTGTGTATTAATGCTTCATTGACTTAGATCAAGTATTGTTTTGTAAGGCGTCCTTAAGACCTTTTGCCTTACAATTCGGCTCATTCATGCCTGTTTTATGGCTACCTGTTGTAAGGTTTCCCATCTATACTCTAAGGCTCTAAGCCTTTAATTATCTATTTGCAGTCTTTTGTCAACTTTCTTTCTCTTCTCCCAGACTCCCATCTATACTTATTCCTAGAAAAAGCTGGGCCAAAATTTTTAAATTTTTTAATATACAATCTAAAATTTACAAATATTGCCATTACTTTGACCGGGGTTTGATGTGGAGCATTGGATCTTAATTGATCCTATGATTGTAAGCTATTTACAGCATACCATTTACAGCATTTATAGCATACCATCAACCAAAGAGTGTGCCAATTTACCTACCCCTACAAAAACTCAAAAATAAGCTAACACACAAAATATGTATTTTTATTCAATCCATGAGCATTGTATTGCTTCCCTGCTAACAATGACATTTGAACTATGTAAGAATATTGATCTAAAATTACGACAGTAGTTTCGGTGCATTGTAAAAATTTGAGACCTGAGGTAGTAGTTCTCTGTGGCTCTAACAAGTTGTTCTCACTGTGTAGGTTATTCCTAGCATTGCAATGGTTGAAACCTATACAAGGTTGCTTCTCATCGCACCATATTCATTGTTTCGCTCACACTTCAGTGTAAACTTCTTTACTCTATTGGCTGATTTTTAATCTTGTTTATTTTATGTTTTTATCTATAATAATTAGAGGTAAAAGACTAATAGGTTGCTATGGAGAACTATTATAAGGGCTTTGAGATGCAGATGATTTGTTTAAACTTCTGAATGTATCAACAAGATTACAACTTGAATTACTGTGTATTGTGAGCTTGTCATGTGTAAATGTCTATCGCTTCATTGTTGCAGCATTTGACTCAAAGGAACCCAAGCACACTAAGCAAGCCACTAGCAACACTTCTGGTTCTAGAGATTCTGAATTATCGGTTGCTTCCACTCTATCGGTGAGTATGACTTGTTTGTGTGTGTCTTTATATGTGTACTCATATAGAGTGAGGAATCCATTAAAAGAATAAGAACCCTACTTTCTATGAAAATTAATCTAGGTCACTCTCTTCAAAATTATTATTTGTAAGGATTCAACAAAACACAATTTGTCGATTTTGAACATCAATTGGTCAAACCTCACCAGCTATTGCCATGCTGTACCCTGTGATGATTTTTGACTCAAAGGCTACTATTTGGCTTCATGAGTGTTGTTCACTTCGCCTCCAACTACTTTTTTCTCTAATTGGAGTTGAGTTGAAGGAAAATTTACTATTAATCTACCATAACCCTGGATGTTGTCATTTATGGCAATGAAGCACAACAAAAATGGTGATGATTCCCAGAATCTTAACAGTTTCAGCTAAATATTGAGCAATTATAAATTTATAATACACTTAAAGCCTTAAACTCATTATTATTGCCTATCAACTAGAATTGACAAATAGATACATCATTGGAATCTGGAATATTTCCTAGCTTTCTTCCCAAAATTTATGCTGTGAAGGAAATTATAAGGAATGGATAGCTACAGAAAAAATACCAAGTATTATGTATCTCTAGAAAAAGAAGCGAAATATTGTTGTTGAAGTTTTAAAGAAAAGAGAATAAAAAAAGAAAAGTAGTGGGAATGTATGTGAGAGAGAGAAAGAAAAAGAGTATGTATTTGTCATTGGGTGTGTGTGTGTGTGACTAGAGAGAAAATGGTTGGAAAAGGAAAGGAAGGGTGAAACCACTAGAATTTACCAAAAAGGGATTAAGGAACCACGAGAAAGTTTTTTCTTAGAAGTACAAAAGATTCTAAAAGGCACTTTCCGAGGTGCAAAAATACGATTGCATCATTTTGATTAATTCGTATTGAGGATATTCATTTGACCTGAAGTATGAGTTGTTTCAAAAGCCTGGGATCTTGACATTGCTTGAATCAAATGTTATAACCCCTAATAGACCCGCATTGAAGGTTTAACCAAGTATTTCACTCAAAGTTGCTTTTCATAGATAAAGTGAAAGATTCCCCATGTCTCGTCAATAATGACTTTAAGCCTCTAATAGTCTACTCTATGACAGTGCACAACTATTTAAATCCCTAAAAGACTTTCAAATGAATAGTAGCGCAACTGTCTGAGATCAAAGCATCGTTTATGTTTGTGCGACACCGTACCATTCCCGCAATGGTGACCAAAACCGTATATTTGAACAATGGCCCTCATGAAATTTGTGTTTTAAAAGGTGTGATCTAAAAAAAAATCCTTATGATTACAAGATTTACAACAGTGATGGGGCTTATCCCTTCAATTCATAAATTTGTTTCTTGGTACAAGTACGGTCTTTATGTGCTGTTGTAGATGGTGACTTGGTGAGGGGTTGTGTAATCTATTGGAGAATTACTCCTTAAATCAAATATTTCTTTGAGAGTGATGAAGTGACCCTATGTGACATTGGGCTTTTAGTTGCTCTATTATCCTTTTTTTTTTTTTGTTTGCTTAGTTGCCCTAGCTGTTTTATTAGGAAATTATTACTTATTATAATACTGTGTCATAGTTTGAACTTGTTTACTCTCTATCAACGAGTAGCAGGTCTCACGTGGTTCTTGCCCCTCATTTATGTATTTATTTTCTATTTCAGAATGAAGGAAATTGATGCATAACTTGAATTGTAGGTATGAAGGAAAGAACAAGAGCTTAATGTATGATGTCACGAAAATTGTTGCTGCATTGAAAGGGAAACGCGGTGATCATCGTTTATTTAGACTGGCTGAAAATCTATGCATGAACTTGATCTTGTCCCTGAGAGATTTCTTTTCAGTGAAGAAGGAAGGAAAGGTGTTAAGGTCTCCATAAAGCCTACTTGTATCCATTCAGTTTTATTTTACTCTGGGTATAATTCTTTTATTTTATCATTTTTTAAATTGCAGGGTCCTACTGAATTCACTGAAACTTTGAATCGAATTGCTGTCATTTCTCTTGCTATTATTATTAAGACGCGTGGAATAGCTGAGTCTGAGCATTTACTTTATCTTCCTGCGATGTTGGAGCAAATATTGTCGAGTAGTCAACATACTTGGTCCGACAAAACTCTACGTTATTTTCCTCCTGTTCTACGTGAAACTTTAGCTGGCCGTTCAGATAAAAGGGGACTGGCTGTTCAAGCATGGCAGCAGGTTTTGTAACTTTTTCCTTTTTTTATTGTTTTTTTTTTGTTTACTATTTTCTTGCAGTGCATCACACCTGCAAGTTTGAATTACAGATTTTTAAGGCTGCTTACACCTTTTCTAGTAATCACTCTGTTGTGCCATTTCAGTGATTTCACAATCTAATATGTCTGTGACTTTGTGTTCTGTGATATTTTTTAATGATATTCTTAAGTAAGTGACTTTAAAATTAGTACCTATTATTTATTTATATATTTATTTATTTTGCTGAAGAATTTACTAATTACACTATAAGCAATATGGACAAACCAGTACCTAAAGTAGTTGTATAATTGGGGAAAGCCCAATTGTATTCTGGGTACTTGATTGCTTTAAATTGCTGTATATAGGGTCCTCATGAGCTGATGCCATGTTGGGGAATCAAACTTGTATGTTGAGCTTATGTGACATTTGGGGATACCAATGCCTAAAATAGTTGTATAATTGCTTTGATATCTAATCCTATATGTTGTTTTTTGTGACAGGCAGAGACTACGGTTATCAATCAATGCACCCAACTTCTGTCCCCGTCAGCTGATCCTTCTTATGTATCGACTTACCTAGGTCATAGCTTTCCTCAACACCGGCAATATCTTTGTGCTGGTGCTTGGATACTTATGCATGGACATCCTGAAAGTATAAATAGCGCAAATTTGGTACCTACCCTTTTCTGCTCGTATTTATTTTTTTCTTCTTATTGATAAAGTATTTTTTTTTCCTTAAAAAAAAAGAGCAATTTATAAATAATTACATGAGTATGGATGGAATGATTTTTGTGTATGTAAACTATGCAATCTTATTTGATATATTCTAATTTGAGGCTTCTATCCAATCAAGCACAGGCACGTGTGTTGAGAGATTTTTCCCCTGAAGAAGTGACTGCTAATATTTACACCATGGTTGATGTTCTGCTTCATCACATTCATGTAGAACTTCAGCGAGGACATCCTTTGCAGGTGATATTGCTGGCTGTTACCAGCATATAAATATCTTAAAACTTTTCACTGACTCACAATTGGAAAATTCAATTCATTTATTTTTTTTTCTTTCATCTTGGTTTTTCGTTGCAGGATCTTCTTATGAAAGCATCTACAAATTTGGCATTCTTTATTTGGACTCATGAGTTGCTTCCTTTGGATATTTTAGTCCTTGCATTGATTGATCGTGATGATGATACACATGCGTTACATATTGCAGTGAGTTTTTTTATTTTTATTTATAATTATTATTATCATTATTTTTTATTACAAGTTTCTTTCCCTGACCTCTGGTTTTCAAATTCAAGTGGGTTTCTGTCGTGGTCTCTTCTAGACTGTATTACAAGGAAGCTTGTAATTACAGATTTAAGAATAGTTACTTCCTTATGACTATAAGAGCATGGAATTGAATGTAGGATTTTATGATTATTCCTTATGACTTTGAAGATTTAGCGCTTTAACAAGTGGTGTTCTTGAGTTCAATAAGCTCATATTGTTTCCTAGTGATAGTGTCAATAATTCCTTGCACAATGCCCAAGGTTAATGACCAATAATCTCTTAAGATCAAATGGATGTCATTCATTTCAAACAGTTCATATATTACAGGAAAAGACACAGTTATGTCGAGTACTAAAACTTCTTTGCATTAATATAGGTTACAAGGTATAAATGAAAATCTAGCTTGCTTGAAAGGGGTAAGTCTATTGCTGATGTAAGAGTAATTATTTGATGTGATAATGGACTGAAATATAAAACTACTATGGCTCCAGGAGCTGTCAATTTTACATTATTTACAATTCCTCAATGCAGTTAGTCTCTTACATGGAGCCTAACTGCCTAACTCATATCCTAATATCCCATTAGCCTTTAAACAAAACAACCATTGGGATGGTGACAGGACTGATAGGCTTTCTTCCCCTAGTTCTTACTAGAGAAAAACCTTTCTATCTTTCTATTCTTACTTCCGTAGCATATACCATACGTTGCTCTTCACACGTTCTTTTCTTTAACTGTTATAGTTATTCCTAAGGGCAGTCCTAGAATCCTAGTTATAATTTTTTTTTAATTGTTATCTGATGATTGAGTTGTCTTGCAAAAATGGTTTGCAGATCAGTCTACTTGACAGGCAAGAGCTTCAGCAAAGATTGAAATTATTCTATTTGACCCGTGGACCTCCTGAGCATTGGCTATATTCTGGAATATTCAAACGTGTGGATCTGCAGAAGGCATTAGGAAATCATCTCTCTTGGAAAGAAAGGTAATTTTTTTTTTTTCTACATTATGCTTTATTGGTGTGGACTTGTGGTAGATCTCTTTTGGATAAATGTATAAGATATGGACTTGGAAGACAGTTGCCATTATTTATTATATTCAGATGCATTAATTTATGGCAGCCATCTTAGAAGGGCAGCCTATTGAGGATCAAAAATGCCCTGTAAATTGGTTGCTTCTACTTGATGTGGCAAAGTATTTCTGTGTTTTCTACATTGACACTTCAAAACATAATGTATACATGATATTCCAAAATGGTTGTCTAGCCTGGATTAATCACCATGATATGAAATGAAGTTAAGGATTTTAAGATCAAGGGTTTGACTGGAAAATCCATTCACCCATCAATATTATAATTGATATGTTGATGCTTTCTTTCATATGACTATGGGCATGTGGCAAATCTAGTGGGTTTTTGTTGTAGAGACTAGAGTGGAAGAAGCTTCATTGGCTGTCATCTTCAGTGGCAGCCAGAACCAGGGGCAGAGCTACAAGGGGGGCTGGTAGCCTAGCCCTGCGACTCATGATTTTTAACTTGGCCCCTGTAGATTTATTGTATATGTATTATTAAGTGAAGACCAGTATCACGTAAATGATCTTGCTTTAGTGGTGAAAAGGTACTACATGATACCGCACATGGTCAGAAATGGTCACTTGTTCAATTCTCTTAGATCTCCCACTTTATTTCTTTTTCTTTTTCTTTTATATCCCCACTTCTTTATTTATTTATTTTTTTTTTCTCTTTTATTTTTCTTGTATAATTAAGGTGTTTTTATTATCTTGTACAATCTCACTTATTTATTTTTCCCCCCTTTTATTTCCTTTTATAATTTGGCTGTTTTTCTTTTATAATCCCACTTTTTTTTTTTTTTTTTTTTTTCTCTTTATTTTTTCTTTTATGATGAAGATTCAATGCTTCAAATTCAGTAATACTTTGTCTAAATTTTATTAATTGATGATCATCATGATTTATCTTCTGTATGATGCTGTGACATACATTCAAAAAACATGCATTTTCTAAGATCTAAATATTCAATATTGCTATTTTATGTTTCTAATTGTTTTTGTCAATTGTTAATAAATTAGAGTCGAGTTTGCTTTTGTATGATGTTGTGACATACATTCAAAAAACACGTAACTTTCTAAAATTTAAATGTTATATATTGCTAGTTTATGTTTCTCCTTACTTTTATTAATTGTTATTGATTTAGAGTAGTTTTTAACTTTTAATGCAAAGTACTTTGTATTAGTCTCGTGATTTGTTTTAATGTTAAGGTAAAATGATTTAACTTTGAATTTTGTATAGTAAAATTATATTGTCAATGCTAACACGGAAGATATTTTAGCCATAAAAAATAATAGCCTTGGCCCCGTTAGCTTTACTTTCTGGCTACGCCTCTGGTTAGAACCTTCGATATCCAGCGGGTTATATCAAAGAATATTCTACGTTGTCCTTGTTCCATTGTGCTTTTCAGGGCCCTTGCATTGTAGCCTTAGGTCTTATTTGATATCTAGAGTGGCCCTGTATAAAAATGGATATCTTCAGTATTTGTGCAATAAAGTTAAAAGAGTAATTATTGAATAATTTTTTAAGGGGACGATGGGGGGGGGGGGGGGAGGTGCGGCCGTGCGGGGAAGATGGAGACAAATTATAGGGTGCAGCACCTGAGGCTGGTTGTTCGATCAATGAGAGCAGATATGTGGGTGGTCAGGGGGGCTATGTTACTTAGACTAGGGAGCACGTATGGGGCTGACTCGACTGTTTAATGAAAATTTTCTATGTTTGGTTTAAAATGATGTTGAAATGGCCTACCTATGTTGAAGTGTTGGACTGTCCAAGGTCTGACACGGGTACTTTAGGTAAAAAGAAATTTTTATTTATTTATTTGTTTAACAATGCTTTTATCCGTTTTTAGCGAGTTAATAATTCTTGAAGCTTGAACAGCTTTTGCCTCTGAAGTTTGAAGTTATTGGAAACCTTTTGAATTATAGTATAGGGTTACTCATATTCCATTTTACTTCGAACACTTGACTGACATTGGATGTAATGTAATTGACTTATGTTAACTATGTGATAATGTATTGACTGAAGCATATCACTCTTTCACTTATCTTGTAGGTTTCCTGTGATTTTTGATGATATTGCTGCCCGTTTGCTTCCTGTTATTCCTTTGGTTGTTTACCGACTCATTGAAAATGATGCTATGGATCATGCTGAGAGAGTTCTGGCTATGTATAAACAATTGCTAGCCTACCATCCTTTAAGGTTTACTTTTGTCCGTGACATATTAGCATATTTTTATGGTCATCTTCCAGGAAAGCTAATTGTCCGCATATTGAATTTGCTTGATATACCCAAGGTAATAAAAGGCTTTGTTTTCATAATTTCATGATCTGTAATTTCATTGTGATTCTTGTCATCTTGGTGGCTGATATCTTTTGTGATGCAATTCTTGGTTTAGATTCCATTTTCAGAGTCGTTTCCACAATACATTGCCCTATCAAATTCTTCATGCCCTCCTCCGGATTACTTTGCTTCCCTGCTGTTGGGTCTAGTGAATAACGTCATTCCTCCCCTTAGTAGCAGCTCAAAATCAGGATCGATATTAGATGCTTCATACCTTTCAGCGCGCTGTCCACCGAATAAAAATCCTGTTGCAAATCAATCTGGGCAAACAAATGTTTCTGAGGTTCAGAAGGCTTTCTATCAGATCCAAGACCCTGGGACACACACACAGCTGGTGCTTGAAACAGCTGTAATGGAATTGCTTTCTCTTCCAGTATCTGCTTCCCAAATTGTGGCATCACTTGTTCAAATCGTTATCCATATCCAATCTACACTTATTCAGTCCAGCCATGGGTTGCATGGAACTTCAAATAGTTCGGGGCAAACCTCTGTGTTACCAACATCACCTTCTGGTGGAAGCACAGGTTCTATGAATGCAAGTAGATCTGCCGCACCAGTTTCTGGACTGAATACGTCCAATTTTGTTTCTCGTAGTGGCTATACGTGTCAACAGCTATCGTGTTTGTTGATTCAAGCTTGTGGTCTTTTACTGGCTCAGCTTCCACAAGATTTTCATGTACAACTCTATCTTGAGGTATCACGTCTTGTTAAAGAGACCTGGTGGCTCAATGATGGGAAGAGGTCCCCTAGCGAGCTGGATTCAGCTGTTAATTATGCTTTACTTGATCCGACATGGGCTGCTCAAGACAATACCTCCACAGCCATAGGTATTATTTATTATTGTTTTTTTCCTGCTTATTCAGTTAAAAAAATTACGAACATTTTTCAAAAAGGTGCTTTTAAGTGGTCGACTTTGTGAAAAAGGTCCTTATATAAAAATAGGTGGCAAAAAAGGTCCTTATATAATTATATTCCATTTAGATTGTAAGGAGAGACCTTTGATTGGATTTTGGCGATTGACTTTATTTCCCGGCCATTGACCATCACGTGACTGTAAAAACTCTCCCACCTTTTTTTTTTTTTTTCTTTTTCTCCCTTTTCCCTCTAATTCCAACTGGCCCTAATTCTTATCCCCTTGTTTCTCCTTCCTCTATGTAATTTGTGAACCCTAATTTTCACAAAACAGCTTGTTCACAATAACAAAGTTCAAATCTAGTCCTTCCCATTCAAATTGAAGGGAAGTCGAATTAAGTGAGGTTAAAACCCCTTTGCTAATTATACTAATGTATTTGTTAATGTCGATTAATGGTTTTTTTCAATTTCTAATTTTCCAACTACAAATATAAAATGTTGTTTTTGAATTATAGTATTTCATCCCCACACAAACTGTTGAAGAGGTGTAATTGTGGGCTTCCAATTGCCCAGTTGAGTTATTGCACCGCCATTAATGGAATGTTGCAAGTTACATCAGATAAGAGAAGAGAGGAAGGAGAAATAGGGGGGGGGGGGGAGATTTAGGGTCAGTTGGAATTGGAGGGGAAAGGGAAAAAGACAAAAAAGGGGAAAATAAGTCATGTGCTGGACACGTGATGGTCAATGGCTGGAAAGTAAAATCAATTGCCGGAATTTGGTCAAACAATCCCTCCTTACAACCTAAATGGGATATAAGGACCTTTTTTGCCACCTTTTTGACAAAGTCGACCACTTAAAAAGACCTTTCAGACAAATTTTCCATTATTATATTTAGTTTGCATTGTGAATACCTTTCAGACAAGTTTCCCATTATTATATTTAGCTTGCATTTGTGGATTCTTTTGGGATTTTACTACCATATCATTACTTTTTGTTGTTTGCAAATATATTGGGTTAGTATCATAGTTTAACATGTCAAAATTCTAAGCTTGAATAATTCAGTCTTAAATTAGTTGATATGGTCGGGTTTTATACACAGCCAAATTATATCAGCTCTGTAATTAGGTCCCAGCACGTCATTCTCTTTCCTTGTGACATTCTTTTCCTTACTCTGAACTGGCAAGTAAATCTAGAAAAGACTGATAAGATGATGTTATTGGGTGGTGCAACTGTAGAATACTTAAATTCTGTTCTTAAACCTCATTTTTTTGGGCTTCTCCTATATACTTCCTCCAATTCAAAAAACATGCATCCAAGCTCCTTGGCTCACGTATTACAAAAGAATATAAAGATTATGAAGGACAATATCGTCAATGTATCAAATTAACTTCAACATTGTTGAGATGGTGGGTTGGGTTATTACAAAGCTTATAAGTTATTTTAGTTAGTTTGTTTGTCCATCTGCCTTCTTTATCCTCATCTTAAGTTGTATATCTAGGAGGTTGGTTGCAATCTAAAAGAAAAATAGGAATTTGAAGGGATGAAAAGATCTTAATCAAGGGGTTTTTTTTTTTTTTCTTCTTTTCCTTTTTTTTCTTCCCTAATGCACCTCATTAGTGTTTACAATCCATAACACTCTGGTCCATTTTGATGATCTAATGGCAATATCTAGAGGTTATGGTGACTACCATTTCTTGATAAAGTAATGTGAAAATCACTCAAAAACATCTTAGGGCCTGTTTGATTTGGTGGTTTCGATAGAGGAACTAGAAATTATTCCCTTAATAAAGATCAAACACTAATGAGGGAATATCTAGAGGTTATGGTGACTACCATTTCTTGATAAAGTAATGTGAAAATCACTCAAAAACATCTTAGGGCCTGTTTGATTTGGTGGTTTCGATAGAGGAACTAGAAATTATTCCCTTAATATTCCATTGTATTTATTTGGTGCATTTAATTTAAAATTCCCTAATAACCAGCGCTACTGTCAACATCAACAAACTATAATTCGAACTGTAGATATATATAGACACACACACACTTTGAAGTGTAGATATATAGACAATTTGGCAAATGGATGTACAGTAAACATTCAAAATTAATGATGTCATAGTGAAGGTATTTTTGATTTATGGACATATAGCATTTTAGCGGTTTACTTGTTAAGCTTAGGCAGCAACAAGAGTGGTTTACATTATCATGGAATCAAAGAAAAAAAGCAATATTGTACAATCAAAGATAGATATTTTTCTGTGAATTAAAAAAATAGATTGTCCAAAATAATTATAAAAAAAAGGAAATTTTGTCAAAAACCTCCTTTTTAAAGCATTTTTTTGTCAAAAACCTCCTTATAAATTTTTTTGTGTGAAATCATACCTTAATCAATTTTTTTTTTTTACAAAATCATACCTTATGACAGAAAACGGGGTTTAACCCCGTTTTCAGGCGTTGACCACCAACGTGTTTAACAGAAAACCACCACCAAAATTATCCCACCACCAAAGACCAGCCACCACCACCACCAAAAACCAGCCACCACCAAAATTATCCCACCACCAAAATTTTCCCAAAATTAACCCACCACCAAAGACCAGCCACCACCAAAATTATCCCACCACCAAAATTTTCCCAAAATTAACCCACCACCAAAGACCAGCCACCACGCCCACCCCCACAACACCCACGCAAACACCAACAACCCCACCATTCGACACCAACAACAGCTGCAGAACTGAATACCGCACGCACCACCTCCAATCACCACCAATTCGAGCCAACCAGACCCTCGCAACTCACCTACCCCCACCTACCTGCCCAACCACTCCCTTCGTGGCGACAATACCCTAGGCGGTGGAGATGGAGGCTGCTGGGGATTTTGGGGCTTAATTGGTGCGAATTGGGGTTGCAATTGGTGCGGTGTTGCAGCGGTGGAGATGGGCTGGGGATTGATGTTGTTGTGCTTGCGCGAAGATAGGTGGTGCGGTGGAGCAGGTGGCGGTGATGTGGTTGCGCGGAGATAGCCACCGTGTTAGGAGGGTTCTAGTTGCGGTGGGAAGAGGAAGGAGAGAGAGGGTCGTCGACGGGGTTTGGGGTTCTGGGTGACGGTGGGGTTGGGGCTGGGGTAGCGTCGCCGGCCGGGGGGGTGGGGGACAAGGAACCCTAGACGCTGGCAGGAGGTGGTGGTGGGCTGGTGGGTTTGGGTGGTTTTCCGTTGAACACGTGGGTGGTCAACGCCTGAAAATGGAGTCAAACCCCGTTTTCCGTCTAAAGGTATGATTTTGTAAAAAAAAAATTTGATTAAGGTATGATTTCACAAAAAAAAATTTATAAGGAGGTTTTTGACAAAAACATGCTTTTAAAAGGAGGTTTTTGACAAAATTTCCTAAAAAAAAGATTAAATTGTACTAAACTTGAGATTTTTTGGTGGTTGCATCATGTTTCTAAGTCAAAGCGCAATGTACTATGTAAAGTAATTGAAATTTAGTTAACATGAGTTACATGACACAATGTAGAGGATGCTGAAATTATAGTTTACCCACCCTCAAAATTTTGCAGTTTTATGCTGTATTTCATATAATATAATATGTAGCCAATGTAGGATTCTTATGTTGTTTGATTTTGAATATTCCAGGCAATGTTGTTGGTTTGCTCCACTCATTCTTTAGCAACCTTCCACAAGAATGGCTTGAAGGAGCCCATGTAATCATAAAGCAACTCAGGCCAATAACTTCGGTGGCTATGCTTAGGATAGTTTTCCGTATAATGGGTCCATTGCTCCCAAGACTTGCAAATGCTCATACACTCTTTAACAAGGTACGGACTTTATGCACTATTGTATATCCTATTTTGTGTCATCACCTTTTCCTTTCCATAAAATGATATATCTTGCCTAGCAGGTGCTCCTTGTGACCTTAAATATAGTTTTCTTTGATATTTATTTATTTATTTGTTTATTTTGAGCGTGATATTTATATATTATGCTTAATTGCTTTACACTTGTAGAGTTGTAGGAAAAATTGTCAAAAATCCAAGCATGTCTCATTGCTCGTTTATTCCCAGTTAATTACTAATAAATCCCAAGTTCAACAAAAAATCATTCTCGTTTTCCTCCCCTTCACCACCACAAACCCCTATTTTCTCTTTTCCTCTTGCCACCATAATCACCAGGATACCCCCCCCCCTTCTCTATTAGTCCCTGGCCAAATAGGGCCCAACAACACACATTCATTCCTGCTCCCTATCTACATCTGAATATCACTCATTTTTGCTGAAGAGAGGGTAATAGTTATGGAACGGTATTGGAAATATGCTACATGTGCTTTTCTCTTTTTTTTTTTTTTGCTCCAAATTTTGAAGAATACCATAAAGAATGAATGACAAGTTCTTTTAATCTTTTTGCTTATCATTATTAATGATGAGACGATGATGTAGCAGTCATCCTTGATCTACAGCAAAGGATATACTCTTTATCCAATATGGCATCCCAAGCTCGGTGATATGTTTTTTAGTGCAAATTTTTTTAGGTAGGAAAAAAAAAATTAAAAAATTAAAAAATTAAAAAATAAAAAAGAAAGAAAGAGAAAAAAAAAAATCGTATAGATTTCTGTGACCTGTTTTCTTAATTATCCTTCTAAGTTCTGACTTTTGGACATATATGTCAATCTAATCTTGCAGACTCTCTCTCTTCTACTTGGTGCAATGGTGGATGTCTTTGGAAAGACTGCACAACCATCCGTGCTTGCTCAGGCTTCAGAGATAATTGATCTGATTGACTTCCTGTAAGAATAGGGTTTCATTATTTTCACAGAATACGGCTAATCAGAATTTATAGCAAATTTTTTGAAATGGTCAAAACTTATTTGTGAATTGAACTTATATGAATTTATTGAATTTTATTACAACCTTTCTAGTTTTTGGAACTTATTGGATGGAATATGGAACTTATCATAATTTATATTTCCTGCAATTCTTTTTATTAAGATGAAATGAACAATCTGTTGTAATGGTTGCTAACCTTACATATGTCTTCCTAACCAGTTACTGCTCTTTTTGGTTTCAGGCACCAAGTTGTGCATTACGAAGGGCAGGGTGGGCCAGTACAATCTGCAAGTAAACCTAGAGCAGAGGTTTTGGTACTTTTTGGTAGAGCATTGGAAAGTTTGCGACCGGATGTACAACACCTTCTATCACATCTAACAACAGATGTAAATACTTCCATCTATGCCTCTACTCATCCAAAGCTTGTCCAGAATCCTATGTCATGAGCTCTCTCTTACATTTCATGATTAGCCTCGTGCGAATTGTGACATTTTATCACCTATAACCATTTTCTGATACCTGCATGAGATACCTGATGCCAGCCCTCAAAACTTGTCCCATTCAAACCTGAAAATGATACTGCCCTCATTCTTTGGCTGAGCTATTCTGTTATCTAATCTTATAGCGGTAATCCTTAAATGAGGTTGTGGATGGAATAAGGGAACCACCGCCTTTCTCAAATGAACTGTGTACATATGATAATGTACTTTAATGGTTCTTTTAATTTAATTTAATTTAATTTTCTTTTCTTTAGGAATATTAATCAATGTATATACATCTTTTATTCTATTAATAGCTAATTGCTTTTGGTAATATTCTTGCTTTATCTTTCCTCATAACATGATTTTTAGTTATAACTGGTTTCTTACTATATATGTATGTCACTCTAATGTGTAATAATTTTTAAAGAATGGAGGAAGTAGAATTAATTTGGATATGTAGATTTTATTATTGTTTATTATTCTCTCCGTCACTTAATATAAAAGTCTTATTTCCTTTTTGGGTAAACCAAAATACAATGCCTCTTTAAATTTCAATTTTTTGACATTATTACCCTTTTTTATGAGTTGTCATCTTTTTTGCTTTACTTTTTTGTACTTATCAATTTCCAACTCTTTCTCTCTCTATCTCTTTAATTATTTCCAACTACTTTTTCTTTCTTTCTATCTCTCTCTAACCCCACATGCCCATATGTACTTTTAATCATTAGTTTCACAAAATTTACAACTTTCTTAATTCCCGCGCTAAAACCAAAAGAGACTTTGTATTAAGAGGGAGTATTACTACATGTTCAGAATACCAATAAGCTTAATTGTAATGTGTAGTTGTAACTTATAGGACTCTAGACCTGGCAAATGGGTCATTCGGGTCGGGTATGGGTCGGGTCAAGTTTGGGTCGGGTCAGTTCGGGTTGGGTCAATTTTCGGGTTGGGTCAATTTTCGGGTCGGGTCAATTTTCGGGTCAAATTCGGGTGATGCATTGGGTTACACATTATAGATTAATAAAAAAAAAATTAAGTCAATTTCATTACGGTTTTTTTCTATTTCGGTTTGCTAAGGTCAAGTCTTTAGCTTAAATGAATTATGGTCATTTCGGGTATAAGATAATTTTGATTCGGGTCACTTGGGTTTTGAGGCTATTTGGGTCAATATATTCAATTTAAAGGTCGAGTCAACTTCGGGTCGGGTCATTTCGGGTCTCGGGTCAAGGTCGGGTCAGTTCCACTTCGGGTCGGGTATGGGTTGGGTCGGGTTGATTCGGGTTTTGGGTCAATTTCGGGTCACTGGTTTCGGGTCAATTTCGGGTCATGGGTCGGGTTATTCGGGTCGGGTCATCAGGCCTGGGTCAGGATTGCCAGGTCTATAGGACTCTACTCTCCTAGTCTCCTCAATCTATTTTCAAATAATCAACATTAGTTTATAGATAACATAAGTGTAATGTGTAGCGTATAACTAGTTAGACTCTGCATCATATTATTTACATTGAACTTATTTAAAATTATTACTAGCAGAATAGTAAATCTAATTAGACGATTGAATCATTTTGAAACTGTATGGACTTTACTAGACTAGGGCCTGTTCTCATTGACTGAACTGAGTTAAACTGAACTGAACTTATTAGAGCTGAACTAAACTGAACTAACTTATTAGAGGTGAAATAAAATGAATATTTTATAAGAGAAGGAAATTAAGAGCTGAACTAAACTGAATTGAACTAAACTGAACTTATTAGAGCTGAAATGAATAGAAATGATCTGAAAATAATCGTATGAGAATAGGCCCTAAAATGAATTCTATTTGAAGGTTTAATGAGCTTTTTAGGCGTTAGAATTTTATAATCTTATAAAGAACAATGGTGTAAATTAACAATTATATATTGAGTTAGTAGCAATATACTTGTTACTCCTTTTGTTTCTATTTGTTCTTAGAGCACTCACGACAATGATAAAAAAAATGTTCATAGAGTACTCACGACAATGATCAAATAAAAGTTTCCCATTTTGGGTAAATGTCGTCTGCTAAGTAATAACCCAACTTGTATTAATGGCCGTTCACAGAAAAATTAATTGGAGGTGCCCCATGGAGAACATCATCAAATACCAGAGAACGGTAGAGGACATTAAGATCATTACAAGATCCAGGGATTATTCCAAAAAATGCATGCCAAATCCATAAATCTTGATTTTCTACGGCTTCCAGAATGAGGGTTGTATTTTTAGTTCGGCCTGCGTATTGCGCTTTCAAAGCCATAGGACAATTCTTCCACTCCCAATGCATGCACTTAATGCTACCTATCATACCGGAAAAACCTCACATTTCATTTTGATGCAAGATTCTCCTTAAATCTTCGTCTGTAGAACTTCTGAGGTATTCAGCTTCAAAATGTGTAATAACCCCTTGACAAAAATGTTGCAATGCCTTCCGAGAGGTTGTTTCGCCAATGCGTAGATATTCATCCGCGACATTCGGAGAGGTACCGTACACCAACATTCTAATCGCAGTGGTGTATTTCTGCAACGGTGATAACCCAAGCCTTCCAGCTGCATTCCTACGCTGCTGGAAGAATTGATCCCCCTCGACCACCTTGTTCATAATCCTACAAAAGAAAAAAAGGTTGTTGCATTCGAAATCTATGCCGAAATTGCTTGTTGCTATAAACTGAATTACTCGCAAAGTAATCATTAAACAACTATACATGCCCCTTTTCCTTATCTCTTCTATCTATATTCCTTCTAGGCTCCAAAACATAATCAACTTCAGATTCATGTTGGGCTTGTGTTTGGTTAGACAACAAAGTTGGTAGATGGGTTGTAACAAATTCGTCAACTAATTGATAAAATTCTGCATATTGATCAGTATTATATGAGCTGGAGATTGAGTTAATGGAAAACATTGTGTTTGTTTGATAATTATGATATTTTTGATAATTTGAGCAGTTAGATTATATTGGTTTGGTTGTGTATAGATGGTCTCAGTAGTATTTATAAGCATGAACTCTCAATGGGAGGTCAAAAATATGAATGCCAATTCGATGAGTGATTAAACTAACTTTTTGACAAAGATGAAAAATGACTATTCAAAATACAATAAGAAAATTGACATGAATGCCACATGACTACTCAAAAAATAGTAAGACAAGTAACATAATTGAGACATGACCCTATTATCAAGATGTGACATGACCACTTTTGGCAAGTATGACAGAAATGAGACATGACCACTTTTGTCAAGTTTCATAGAAATGGGACATGACTATTTAGTGCATGTCAATACAAACCAGTGATTATGACTAGTCCTTGCTTACAACAATTCAACTTGGTTACATAAATTAGAAAACTCTAACCTCACAATACAACAAATTAAAAATAAACTTCACGCACCACTAAAATACTACTTGAACTTTAGTTAATACTTAAATTTAGAACTATATCACAATACTTAAAAACATACAATCATCTTGTAACATAGACTAGTTGAAGTAACTCTTCCTTATGGGCCTCTTCAGTAGGAATGAGTGGTGTTGTACTGTCCTTCCTTAAAGAGATTGCAGCATATCAAAATTTATCTTTTTCTCTGCTATTTCAACTTGTTTTTGCTTCCTTTTTTCCTTTTCCTATCAAGTTTCAACCGTTGTTGTCGTAAATTTACCTCCCTTTCTCTAACCTCAGTACACACCTTTATCTGTTCACCGATGCTCAAAACTACACTATCGGAAGCAACTGTGTTGCCCTTACGCTAAGCCTTCGTTTTTTTAACATCATCAAGTCGTCGTAGACCTCGGACGTAAATCCACCAGTTTGGATGTCATTCTCACCCTTCGCCCTAGACATCTTCCCACTTTCACTACTACTATCTTCCTCGTCATCAGCACCATAACCCTTTCTTTCCTCCTTCGACAGACCCCATCTTAGCTTTGTCCTCCACTTCGTGTCTTCCTTAACCATTTCCGCTGCATGAGAAAATACAAAATTATGTTCAGGATTAGAGGAGATATAAAACAACTTGGATGTATTTTTAATTCGATCATCTTCCACTTTTTGGAAGTTTGTCCGCCTCCTCATAGCAACTAGTGTAATACCCTGTATTTTTTATAAGTATTTTAGTTCAAACAAGTATTTCTAAAAGTATTTAAATCAGTGAAATTAATTATATATGAGGTTTTATTATTTAAAGAGTTTATCAAAGGTCCAATTTATTTATTTAATGATTTTGAAATACTTATTTTATAATTTAAATATATTGAGGCATATGGTTTTATAAAAGGTAATTTGTAAAGTCAATGGTATTTACAGAAAACTCAAAATAGTAGTTGGAATAGGTAAGAGATCATTAAGGGTAAGGAAAGAATTTTAAGTAGGAGGGTTGTTGAGAGAGGGTATAAATACCCATCATATGTGCAAAATTAAACTTTGCCCAAGGTGGAAAATACCCAAAGGTAATTCTCTCTTTCTCATATTTTCTCGTTCTCTCTCTTATTTCTCCCCTTCCCCTTCCCCCTTTTTTTTTTTTTTTTTATTTTTTTATTGAGAGAGGGTATAAATACCCATCATATGTGCAAAATTAAACTTTGCCCAAGGTGGAAAATACCCAAAGGTAATTCTCTCTTTCTCATATTTTCTCGTTCTCTCTCTTATTTTTTCCCTTCCCCTTTTCTTTTATTTTATTCACCATCGCCGGCCACCACCGCACCACTGGACGACTGCCGCACCACCAGCAGACGCGGGTGGCAGCGACGACACTACTAGCGGTGCGGCAGCAGCCTGCTGTGGTGTCGGGGCTGTTGTCGGTTCTCAAGGAAAAAAAATTAAATTTTTAATTCCTTTTGTTTTAATCCTAAGTTAGCCTTTAATTAATTGATGTTTTTGGGTTTTGTGATGATTTTTACGATGTTTGATTTCAACTATGATGCACATAAATGACGAGGGGTGAACTAGGTCGTTAGACTAATTCTCCCTAAGCCAAACAAAATTTATAAACACTTAATACAAGTATAGAGGTAAGTCAAGGGTCGAACCCAAAGGAACGGTAATGTCTAAGTGCTTTCAATTATGTGCCAAAGCTAGGTCGAAGTCTAAGGATAAAAGGTGACACTAACAACTACTTAAACGAAGAAACCAAACAAATAAAGTGCTAGGGATTAGGATTCACATATAATAGCAATGAACATAGCCAATTGGGATAGGAAGTTGACTAAGTCGAGTGATGCAAGGGAAAACCAATCATGCAATCAAAAGAGCATATCAAGCTATTTTCCTAGAGGTCTAACTAGCGTCAACTACGATAAACTCTAGCTAGGAACGTCACAAGGCACCTC